CGTCAGGGCAACAGCTGCCATGGAGTCCGGATTTGTCTGCAGATGTGCGATAGTGGCCCGGACACTGTGCTGTGCACAATTGGCCTCGTCCATCAGCATCTTGCACTTAGTGACCAGGCTGGACATTTCTTGCTTCTGTAACTTTTGTTCCACCTTCGGGTCCAGCATAAGTGACTCCGGATGGAATTCGCCATATGCAAGGTCCATGTCAACGTCGGAGACCGAGTGAGAACGCAGAGGTGGAGGTCTATGTGACCAATGATTATCGAGTGGTAGATCGGTCGTCCTGCGAACAAGCCCGCTGCCTCCATGCGGGGCATGTGTGTATTCTGGGGGTGGGTGATGGTGGCCGTAGAGTTCCTGATTGAATTCTGCGAGGCCGACATGCCTGGGGAAGACTTCTTCTGGCGACCTGGGAGCGGTGGCTTCGGAGCCTGCATGAGGAGCAGGCGTGCACACGAATTCTGGGGAGTAGTGGTGTTGGCCCTCTGAAGGTCGGTGTCGACCATTATCAATCTCGCTTCTGTGACCGTGGTGTCTGTGCGACCTTCGGGACGCAGTTGACCTAGTATCCTCTGCTATTGTCACGTTCTTCATTGCTTTCCTCAGTTCTTTTTCTTCTCTCGCCCTTCGTTCTGCTGCTATCTCAGCCTTCCGCTCCAAGTAAGCCATCTTGGCCTCCTTGAAGACATTTTTCAGTTGTTTGGTTGTACTGACAACCTTGTTCGACTTGTCAATGATTGCAATGGTCTGTGTGACAGCAGCCATGCCTGTTTCTTGGCTGGGCTTTGGCTCGTTCAATGTGTATCAAGAGGTAGGAGTAATCGATGTAAAGGTGCACGGAATGCTAGGGGAGTATCTTGCTCAAGAAGGAACTGCGGTGAGGGTTAGTCCAACCGCTTGTCGGGGACTGAGGATGGAAATAGCATGGCTGGGGAGAGCAAGTCGGTCAGCAAGCACTGGAGCACTTGCAGAAACAACAAGAGTCACAAAGACAATGGCGCGAAGCCTTGTATCTGGCTCAAAGAAATGTCAAAGAAGTTGGGCGGCAAAGTGAGGGCCATTGTCACCAATTAAAAGAGCATTTGTCGCAGGTTGAGATGCGTGGTCCTGGCTGATTTGGCCGACGCTGGTAATCACCCTCACTTCCAAACAGCTTGCACAGCCTCACAAGCCACCCGTGAAGCCACATGTGTGGCGTCCTGCTCGTTGTGGCGGAGTGCAGATGGATGGTTACAGACCCAGCTGAACCCGAAACACCCGCACTCTTTTCTTTTGCCGCTTCATTTTCGCTGGACGGTGTGCAAGGAGGAGTGTGGGCCACGTGCAATGTCCATCCCACCCTCCAACCTTTCGCAGATCTCTTCCATGCGAAGATTAACAAGCGGTTGAGTACCGAGTACCCTGAACTCGGTCCCTAGGTCGTCATCTCAGACCTTATCCCCAGCTAGCAACTTCTCCACGGCCGCGACTTTGTCCTCCATAGTCTGTGCTTTATCTGTGCGAGACCCTACGCGGATATCACTCTGGATGCGTACTATGCCCTTCCGATGAAGCAGTGTATGTGCTTGACCGATCAATCGCATGACATCGTCCCAGGATCCTTCTGTTGGAGAACCATCAGCAAAGGAATAAACTCAGGGGGACGTTATATTAGAACATGAAAGCACCGGAGCTGATGGCAGCAATGATGATGAATCGCCGGGTTAAAGTCATTCAAGTAGCTCCCCGATACACAGCATAATGCCGCCGTATGAGACTCGCGTCGGGACTTAAAGAAGCGATACATTGTTCACTCACCAACAGTAGTTCCCGCCGAATGCATACTGTATTTCAACCCGCTTCGCTTCATGAGGCGCTGGACTTCAGCAATTTCCGCTGACACTGAAGCCGTGGGTGTGCCGAGCGGGATAAGGCAAAAGTCTGCTGTGCATTTGGATGGTGTCTCGAGGTTGACCTTCTCTGAAGACATTTTGTAGAACCTACTAGCCACTCGGTGCTAGGTACTATTACATAGGTATCTTTCGTCAGAATAGTCTGTAGGGGAAGAAAGAAAATTGTCTTGATTTTCGAGGGACTCGTAGTCAATCCCCCTCTGTGATTCACGAACTAAAAATACACTAATATTCTAAATTACAAGTCCATACTCCGTACTGTGCCTTCGAGGTTTTTTGGGCGTTTATTTTCTGCACCGTATCTTCAACTGCTTCTTGTCATTATTCACACTCCGCCCTCAGCCCTGTTGTCCTGCTGATTGTCAATGAATATGTATATATAGGGCTTTTGAGCGCTACGACAGTCCTTCGTACGGATGATGGTATATCGCCCTTGCCCCAGACGAGATTAAAATCGACCTTGTTTCTCATGAATGAAGATATGTATCTCAATCTCGGAATCTACCAGATTGTTTTTTACACTCCAATGGGGACACCACATAACCCACACACAGATCCGTCTGTGTTGGTCTCGGGTGAACAATGCAGATTGATTTGCTGGTTCCGCGACAGTAAGTGCCGTTGAAGGAGGCCAACTAACTGTCGGGCCGCATAACAATGCCAGCGACAGGGAAAGGAGATTTAGACAGCACTCCATTGTCTAGCCTCCTTAGATCCTCACCAGCTCTAAGTCTAAAGACCCGCTTGGCGTGCCATATAACTGAAGCCAAACTTGGTAAGCTGCGAGTGCTTCTGAAGGCGACTGACCGTCTCCTGCGAGGGCATTTTTAATGTTCTTTAAGGAAATCATGATAAAAGGTGTAACACTTCCATGCAACTCGTTGGTGCTCAACCAGTAAAGCTCAAGTGATGATATGCTTTCTCGGCCAGGACCAGGTCGTTCGATGTGGAATTTGTTGTATTCTATCGCGACTGAATATTGTCTGAGTGGAAGTGGTTATAGATGTTATACTAGCCATTGTAGGTAAGGGGACATCCAGCAGCACACGGGCCAAGGGGCACGAGCCTGACCATCCAAACAGCATACTATTTCGATGATGATGCGGGATTATCGACAGCTCCTTCATTGCGACACGGTAGCCTACCTTATGAGGTAAGAAAAACGCTGGCAGAGGCTGGGGCTCATTAAGGTTGGTAACGAACAATAGATATTACAGTCTGACTAGGATGTACCTATGAAGACAATGGAAGACCTGGATGTTTCGGCCATGGGAAACCCAGTAAGGCTGCCAGCCGATTCTGCAGAATGAACCATGCAAGGTTCTTGTCAGGAATCGTAGGCAAACCAGTCATCACAAACCAACCTTTGAAAAAAATCTTCCGCGAAATATGGGGCTTTGGGTCGCCAGAGCGGTTCGGAGAGAAAAAACTGCCTTGTGCTTCTATCATTATAATGTGAATTTCTTCAAGCAATGCCCGTATTTAACGATTGCGGGCATCCGACATGAGCTTGAAGCCGCACCTCCAGACTAGTTGCGAACTCCTACTACGCGGGAAACTTTGGACCGCATTGTGCACTTTGTGGTCAGACTTTGGTTGTTCACCAGACCCGATCTGAGGGATGACAGCCTAACATTGCAACGGGCGGTGTGGAGGTCTTTTGACATCGTCAAGCAACCAAGTAACAACTGGCTATTCCTGGATTTTTCGGAGAACTGGAAGAGGCCACTTCCGCATCTCGTATGCTGGTGATATCTGGGACCTTACATTCGCTTCGAAATCTATCATCAGAGTCTTCTCGCATGCCAGTTTTTTGGGAGCGATATGGGGTTGTGAAGGAGCGGTAGGAAACCTCACACTCCGGTAAACGCTTCAGAATATGATATGGGAATTGGATGCAGCTCACTCTATCCTGACGGTCTTCCAGCAGAAGTACAGAGAACACACAAACTTCTGTACCCAATCGACCAATTTCCGATATCAAGCTTTCTCAAAAAGCTAGGATTATCCCACGAAGCCCTCGACCCTGAAGCCCATACTCTTTGGCGAAAATTTCGACCTTATTTGGACAAGATTTGCCAGGAATCAAGAGAGACTTGCGGAGGAGGAGCAACGTCGGAGGCAATCTCATGGCTTCACGATCGTCATTTGGGCTATAGTACTGACAGCTGCCTTCGTGCTCATCTCAGCAAACACAGGTGTCATGCCGGTTTGGGCTTCCTTCAGCACAGTGTTAACGCCTACGCGTTGTCGAAGGTCAAATGGTCTACGGTATTGGTCTAAGTAGCGAGGGTATTGGTCTAGGTGATTTTGTCTGCATTTCTCCAGGTTTCAGAGCTGCGACCTAACGACCCACATTGTAAACAGATATATGATTCATATATTTGACAATGTATACATTGGATACTACTGGTCGATTCCAAAATTGGAAGAATTAACCTAGAGGCCTTGTCCTCAGCTAACGGCTGTGAAGGTGGTATTTAAAGGTCCTCGTCCGACTCAATGTTGTCTCTACCTTCTTTCAACAAAGGATCATCATTTGCTTCATCGTGTTAGGTTGAGAATGGAATTGCCCGCTTGCCTCTTCATTTCTTTCGGCCTGTCTCATCGTCTCCACGTCTCCATACTCGGTTCTCAGGTCCCGTCTGAAAGGAAATGCATTGGACCAAAAGCAGGAGAAGGGTTTCAACAGCGTGGCGCCTATCCTCGTGCCTTGCATAGTTGAGTGTCACTGCGCTGCCAGGCGAAGCAGATAGGATCTGGCCATCTGCGGTATTCTCTCAGCGTTCTGCGAACAACCAGGGGCCCGACACTCATTTCCGGCGAGGTGAGTCGTATGATACGCAAAAATCCAAGGCTAATGTTTGAAAAAGGGTGGCCATTGTAATTGAAATGAGTTCCTGAGTGATCAGAGGGTATACCCCATTGCCCCCTGAAATATTGTTCGCAAGGCTGTGGCCCTGAAGGGCAATATGCCTGCCGTGCCGGTTCGGTGGATTTTGCCAGGCGCTAGACACCCCCCACACTGTCCATATCCCGCCTAGCTTTGAGCATCGACAAAACACAGTCAATTAATTTGAGCTCAAATTTTAGTGTTAAAATTGTGTTCGAATGGTGTAGTGGTTATCACATGCCGTTCACATTAATGTGAACATTAGATCCGGCAAGGTCCCCGGTTCGAGCCCGGGTTCGAACAGTACCAGCAAGTGAACGAGAAAGTTCCTCCTTTGCTTCTTTGTTTTTGTTTGTTAGTGATTGTTTTTCTTTTCCCCCAGGAGACTGCGTCGTAGACCAGTCAGTGTTCTCTACTGTTCAGCCTTCTAGATATCCACAGTCATCAGCGTTCGACTCCAGCAAGGGTTCATGGGTTTATCGAAAGGTTATCGTATTGTAGTACCCTTGCGCACCTCTTATAGAAATTGCAACGACAAATTGTGTCTCACAAACTCTTTTTTTCGCATTGGTGATGTGGTCATCGATGTAAGAATATTAGGTTAGGTGCGTCTCGGATGGGCCATAGGGCATCGAAATCGACAAGCTCTGCTTCTGGTTGATCTGAAAACCTGACCTCTGCTTCTTGTGGCTGAACTGTTTTCCCTTGGCGGCGCTCTCCACAATACAATGCCCATCTCGCTCAGATTATGCCACACTTCAATCTCTGAGTTGAAGGTCCACTAGCACAACCCTGTTGAATGAATGAAACAAGAGTGCGATGTTTGTCTCAACTGAGCCCTGAACGAGAGATCCAGCCTATTCGATCTTCACACACCGGAAATGTCGGACGGCCATGAGTCAAGCATTATGCTACCAGAATTTCCCCTACTCTCCAAGGATATGCAGCATACATGAACGGTGAACCGATATGCATTAACTATTGACAACACCGCCGGCGCGGAAATAGTAATATGGGCAAAATAAGAGGGCCATGGCAGATGCAGATATGTTTAAGCGACTTCAGAGGCTGCTGGTGGCGCTTTTGGGGTCTCAACGACTCTGACCGTCAAGGTTTATCTATGGACTATCAAAAAGATGTCTACGACGATTGCTGCAGGTGTCTCGAGCAACCTGCAGTTCAAGCCTGCGATATATCTCCGGCTCTCGACTATCATCTCTGTCCCTCCACTAAGAAAATCCCTACGCTTCGGTCTATTTTGGCCTGGGCAGATCATGATGGAGGCCGTCGGGTTATCCAAAGATTTCTTTCCACTCTGCATGATATACTCTCGGTCGAATTGAGGCCTGATTCATGCGACCGACAATATGGTCTCGCTGGATGTGCGCCAGGGGAAACCGTATAGCGAGCATTGAGAAGTTCTTAATTCAAGAGTCAGGTTCTGGACGATATTGAGGATTATATTGAAATTACGCCCTCGACTCGGCCACTGTCGCCGCACTTTCCCATTTATCGCCGATCTCTCCATCGGCCAGAGCGGAGGCAGATGCACAAGGACGTTCACTGATCTCTTGACAGCGAGACCACGACATGGTCGAGCTGATTGGATCTGCGAAACATTTGGAAAGTTCGGCGAGGTCTAGCTTTCAGAGACGCTCTCGACTCTCGACGCCACCAGGAGGCTCGCATTTCAATGGTGCGTCTCGGTGACCAAACGCTCCAGCTGAGTACCATTCCAAGGAGGAAAAGTTGAAGCAGTCTCAAGCAGAAGCGTAATCCTCAGAGGGGACATGTCCTGCCCGGCCGTCCCTTTGTATCCGTTCTGGCACAACGGAAATCGTCATGGTGATGATGACAGAACCGGAAGTAATAGACTGCTGGACGAATGGAGCGACACAGAGAAAGGCATGGGCATTACTGAGACCGCAGACTTGGTAACCTCATGGCTGGTAGGGTATACGACGTAGTGTGCCAATGCCAGAAGTCACGGCAGCCGTATCTTTGGGAATGAACCCTGCGCGAGGAACAGGATTTCGAACATAGGGATAACGATGAGGACAGCCATTCCGAGGGATATGAACGTACCCGGATGCTCAAGATAATAATAAGTAGCGGTTGTAGTATCTGTTGAAAGCCACGACTAACTAGATCAATGGCGTATCATTATCCTTATCATGATTGCTATTTTTAAAGAGCTCCACGGTCTCTAGGATGAGAAAACTCCATCCAGGACATGGTCCCCTCTCTGCTGCCCATTTTGCGAGCTGAGAGGATGCTTCTGAAGTGGTCGATCGGTGGGTCGGTCTGCCCGTTTTGGACTTGGGATCTCGTTCGCCATGTACATACAATACATACATATCCACGCACGGAGCAATCAATGCCCACCAGCCCGACCCTACGTAAAGATATCAAGTGGAAGGAAAATTGTACGTAGGTGCCTCGGTCAGGAAACGGGGAGAGCAGCGAGTGATTCCTGTATTTACTATTCTAATCAGTCCCGCACGTATTACGTGTGAACTCGGTCTTATTCTTTACTGTAGCTCTGTACTTTTGGCTATTACCACGAGAAGGCTGAGACGTGCGAAAGGGGGAAAAGGGTCTCGCGGTCTCCGCGGGTTCGTTGGGTCAAAGGATTAATTGCCTCACCAGTCGGGAAGGGTCATGTCGGAGCCGACAAATGTTTGAGTTTTAGCATACGTATACACGGGGCACACTGTTAATCATTTCAAGTTAAGGCTGATAGGGTGCCAACTGAATTGGGTTCAATCCATATGCAGGACTAGATGAACCTCCTATTAGCTCCCTGTAAGCCTGCCTGGCTCCAGATGCGTCCCCTTCGCCCCCGTACGCTGGGCGGCTTCCCCCACGTCGATCCCTGACGTGAGAATTGACGTGCAAAACCAGTCCGCCCTTTCATGTCTCCAAAGCTGCTAATATACACACCCTCAGCAAACCTACCCGTTCGTATTCGTGGTCGAAATCCACAGTAATCAAGAAAATGCAAGTAATTTCCCTGCCCGGCTCGGTAACGAGCAAATCCTAAGAGCTTGATTCAACCCTCCAGGAACATCAGGGGCCCTCTTTGTAACGGCGAGAGGGGTCTCAGACCATCAATCAGACCCACACAGTCTGTGCGTCTAAGCGTCATGGATTTCGGCAGTCGGATGTCATTTCCGTGGGTTTGGCCCCAGCGGGATATTTTCGTATCTTCATCTGGGAACTGACATTGCTCTGTCGGTAGCGGTGTGCATTTAGAGGCCAACGAGCCCATCGGCTGTGTCCCAAAAAGATCAACCCCCCCCAAAACAGGACACATTTGCTCTGGGAAACGTGGTCTTGTCCTATTGGGTGTCCGGGGATTGGGTCTATTCCCAAGCGAAATATTTTCACTCACCGACTAGGACTGGACTAAGGATGATAAAAGACAGTCACTTTCGCGGATGACTGGGCAGATCACTTCCGATAGTGCTTGTGGCAGGCCCATCTTTGACATAAAACCACCTTTGACGTGCCGCGACAATTAAGTTCGCACACGCCGAGACTGTTGGGCGGGCATTTCAGTCAATACTGATTCACCACGCGATTGGGGTTGACGAGAAGTTCGACAGGCTAGTCACCCGTGAAGGATCTGAAACAAATCCAATCCAGCCGCTGAAGAGATATCACTTCACCCTAAAGAGCGATGCCTGTGAACCGGCTCGCCTCTCATTGCAGTCGGCTTCGCCGGAAAGCAAGTGGTACCGCGAGTCCATAGCAATTTTCGCGGTTGGGAAGCGAGCACCTGTTCCAACCAGACCAGTTTGCAACTGCGCATTCGATGTGTGACAATTACAACATATGGACCCCGTGACCGACCCCATTGTACTCAAGACGCTCACGACGATTGGGGACAAGGCAGTTTGTGACAGGTGTTCAGAAAAACAAAAATCGTGAACCATTAGCATAGCATCGATAATTGTTGATACCCCGTGCAACATCGGGCGACGACAACAAGCAATGCGTCGGAGCAAAATCTTGGTATCCAATCGGATACACTCTGCCATCATCTTCGAGTCGCAGAAGTTGATTGGTATGCGTTGAACTAAATGGTACGACTCCGAGAGCTCGGGGAGACTGCAGCTTGGTAGTCCGACACTTACCGATGGAGTTGATGTGAATCACAACCACGGCTACGTCGGGACTCAAACAAAGGTAATGTGGAAGACGATCTGTCTTTACCTTCAAAGCCAATGGATCCGTTAATTTGACAAGCGCGTTCAGTTCGACGAGGTGTTGCCTAAAATATGACCGGAGAGGTGCCGCACAGTAGAATGCCTTGGAGTTCTGCCTTCAGCCTTCTCCCGCAGGATCCAGGAGCCATGGGGCGGCACGATCGCCAACAAAAAATGATTTTCCCGGCGCAGCCTGGTGTGTTATTTTGCGAGCACATCATTTAGCTTCGCTGTAAAGACAGACTTGTTTGCCGAGAAAATCGTATTCGGGGCCTTGCTATACGAGAAATCAAAGCAAAACTACGAGTCATGAGCCCTGTCAGCACGAGCATCCAACCGATGCGACTGTAGGTTGTCTGGATTCTGATACCGATTGTAACGCAAGTCAACCCAATGGTGGAATGGCTCCATTGTTCAATGCCGGACCACGTCAAGGCCGCCTACACGATCTTACATGCACGTCGAGTTTGTAGGCATATCCCAGCTCTAGAAAGGAAAATTTGTACCTTAAAGGGTAGAGAGCCAAGGGCCTTGGGGCCTGATAGCCAGAAAGGCGCGCAATACTGGTGTACCTCGTACTAAGCGCCTGGATGACAACTCCCATAGAGCATAACCGAACTTACTCATGAATTTCGGCAATATCCCGGTCAGAGCTACAAGTCGGGCCGTCTCAGCGCCCCTTGGCGATCCGAGACGGGTAGGTGCAATAGCTCCATATTCGGCTGACTCAGGCTGGAGGGCTTGGAATGTCTTTCTGTCCTTCCATCGCTTTAAGCGAGGTAACAGGACCGAGAATGGAGCCAATATCGATCGGAACACTGCTGCCCAGCGAGTAATCCCGTCTTTGGGCGCCTCGATTGCGTGACGGTCCTTGCATCTTCAATCCGTGTTCAGAGACAGACGCTGAAGGTAATACCTCATGATGTAACATAGCTTCTAGTCTTGTTAGAATGAGGACAGTAATCAAAAAATCTGAACATTTTGAAAACCAACAGGACCCTTTCCTGTCGGAGCTCGCGATGATCCCAAGGCTGGGAGCTGAAAGAAAGAACCAATGATAAATGATAAAACGAAAAACCTCGAATGGACCAC